GTCGCGTTTATTTTTTAATTGTAATTTTATTTGTATTATAAATATTTGTAAACTCTTTTGTAGAATATTCTTTTAAGAAGTTTTAAGAATACAGAAAAGATTTAGCCTGTAATTTTTTAAAGAGTAGATTTCCGTGGTTTATACAATTAAACATTTTGGAAACTTTTATATCATCTGAAACAATTCTTGTTATAGACAGCATTACTTCAGCCTCCGTCTCTGGGGACTTGTTTCTTTTAAGTAATTTTACAGCAATTTCTTAACTTAATTCATTAAAATTGAAAAAGAAATTGGAGTTTGTTAAGAAATTTTCAAATCAACTTTTTGAGCTTTGAGCTTTAGATGCAAAATCAGCACCAACGCCAGATATATCTTGACTTTTTCAATCATTTGCAGTAAAGATACATACCCAATGACAATGAATGTTCATTTTATAATGCAGTTGATCAATTATTTATCTCCTTTAGGATTGATCATTTTTTTTTATTTCAAATCAAAATTTGTTAAATTATAAGTGAAAAACGTGAAATGTCTGAAAATGTTGTCAATAGTGACTTTCAGAAATAATTTATCCTTGAGTGATTTCAAAATATTTCTTTATATTTAAATATATTTATTCCTTATCTAACCTTTATCTCTATCTAAATATAAAGATTTTGTAATTACTCAACGATTTACTTTGAAATTCTTTGCAATACTAGATTTCAGTGTCTATAGTATCATTGTGGAATGAAATACTAGAAACTAAAAACGATACAGCCAGTCAGAGTAGTCAAAAGTCAATTTAGATGAAAGAAACTGGTTTCTGATGTATAACGAGGCTATATTTGAATGTTTTTTATTTTTTACTATTTATCGGTGTCTAATTTGTGCCACTGTGGAATGTTGGAAAAGCATTTAAGATTATTAGAGATATCATTCTTATATTTAATTCCTTTTTACTATTACAGAAGACACTTTTTTATTTGAGTTAACATTACTTTAAAAAATAACTTTATTCATGATGCTCCATGTTTGTTTTTTTAAACCTTTATTTTAGGTTTTTGTTATTTGGCTGCAGCCAAATAACAAGAACTTAAATGATGATTAAAAAAACAAAATTACTATGATATAAACAATATAAAGGAATAACATGACTTCGAATAGATTTTTTTTTACTGTCTTTGCTTTCAAGAAAACTCTGGTTTTTTCAGTTTATACGGTCAAAAGCAAGTAGACAATCGACGTAACATACTTTTTTGTTCTTGCTTTTTAGCGTAAAAATTTATTAATTAAAAATATTTTTAATAATGAAAAACTAACGCGTAAAATAATGCTATTTTTAAAATTTTACCCATTTATGTTTTTTTATAAATTGTAAAGAAACATAAGTTTCCAAGGGAAAATATTACAATATAAAATTGCATACATTTAAAAAACTATTTTAATCAAAATATTTTCGATATAAATAAGTTTGAATCATTAAATTTTTCTTTCCGAGTAATAAAACAAAAATAATATTTCCTTCCAAATGTCTTTTGTAAAACCTTTATTATTTTATTATTAGATTATATTTCCTTACATAATACAATCAATTACAATAGCTGTTTGACAAGGAAATAGGCGGTCGGTTAACGAATTGTTTTAAAGATATTTGAACTATAATTATTTAAAATAACAGCAGTTGACGAGTAAAAAAAAATAAAAATAGGTATTAACAGACAGATATGCCTATTGCTTGTATGGACAGTTTTTAAAGACAGGTGCTCAGTTAAAATGTATTTTATTTAAAAAATGCAATATTATGCACAGTTAAAACTTTAACTAGGACTTGAATTGCACTCTTTTGTACAAAGTATTGGCATATACGAAAAGATAACAAGTAAAAATAAATAAATTTGCCAATTCCTATTGAAGCATTGAATTTTTTCCCCCATAAAAGAAATCCTGTGCTACAGTTTAAAGTTAAATTTCTAGGAAACTGCAGGTCAAAATTTTATGAAATCTTGGACATAAATTCTTTAATATTTTAATATGAGTATATATATATATATATATATATATATATATATATATATATATATATATATATATATATATATATACATACATATATATATATATATATATATATATATATATATATATATATATATATATGTACATATATATATATATATATATATATATATATATATATATATATATATATATATATATATATATATATATATATATATATATATATATATATATATATATATATATATATATATATATATATGTACATATATATATATATATATATATATATATATATATATATATATATATATATATATATATATATATATATATATATATATATATATATATATATATATATATATATATATATATATATATATATATATATATATATATATATGTACATATATATATATATATATATATATATATATATATATATATATATATATATATATATATATATATATATATATATATATATATATATATATATATATATATATAATATATATATATATATATATGGGCACCCGCATAATTTTTTAATGTTTCAGATATGACACTTAAACGCATTGTGCAAAGTCAAAACTTAAGTGTGGTCATGCCTATGACAAACAAAAATGCTTTTCGAAAAAACACGATGATGGAGGCCTGGAAACACAATATCTCAAAACGTTAGCCCCTCTCCTACCCAAACCTGAAAGGAGTGATGCCCTCACTTTTGGGGAGTGAATTAAAATTTTTTTATTTTTAATAAACAAAAATCTTTGTATAAACCATTTCATTTAAAAAATACTATTTATTAAAAACACGTCGTCACATAAAAGACGTAAAATGTTAAATAACGTAATCAGGGACACGTGTTTGCGTTGCGTAAAATGTGAACACGTTATGCGTGTTTCCATTTGTTGCATTTTATACAACAAATATTTTACACAAGTTTTAATTTTAGGACAAAACTTATAACTTCAAATCTATTAATTTTAATGTTTGAATGTTGATACTGCAGGTACAACAATTTATTCAGAGCAAAGTAGTTTCAGACAAAAAGGTGGCTAAAATTGCTTTACTACCGTTTACTATAAAAATTACTTTAACTGCTTTAGTAACAATACCCATACCTACTACTACTACTACTACTACTACTACTACTACTACTACTACTACTACTACTACTACTACTACTACTACTACTACTACTACTACTACTACTACTACTACTACTACTACTACTACTACTACTATACGTACTCTCGAGTTCCTAATAAACGTCCCACCCCATTTAATAATTTTTGGATATTTTTCCCACCCACTCTTAGCTGATTAAGACCCTCCCCCCGTTTATTAATTTTTACTTGTTATCAACAAAAAAATTGTATATCTTAAAAGTAAAAAAAAAAAAGCAAGGAAGCACTTGTGAAACAGAGCCGCTAGATGAAGGATATGAGTTATTTGATTGTGAAGGTGAAACATTATTTATAAATCAACTTGATGAAGAGCATCAGACAGACGAGGAAAACGATACAAATTTGGAAACAAGTACTTTAGAAAATCAAGATGAAAAGAATCAAGTTAATTTAAATACCCCAACATTTTATTAGGTGACTTATGTCAAGGCAATGATGATCTAGAAAAAGATGCTGTTTTCATTGATGAATTAGGAAAACTTTTATGTAATGCAGAAACATCTACCTAATTTATTCTACATCTTACAAGATTGAAACGAAGCTATATAACATCTCGCCGTGCCATAAAAAGCCGTAATGAAAACAACTTTGAAGCCTTTGACAACGAAACCTCCTCCTACTATAAATTCACCCCCCCCCCCCCGTTTATTAAAATTCAACCCCGTTGTATTCGGCACTCGAGAGAACTACTATTTTCAAAGATTGTATATATTAAAGAAATTATGTCCATAATTTTATAGAAATTTGTTCTGTAGTTTTAGAGAAATTTAATTTTGTAGCACAGGATTTTTTTTGTGGGAAAAAAAACTCGGGATAAACTATCTAATCATTTTTAACTAAAAAACTAATCTAAAGATTAATGGAAGATACTATATACCAAAATAAAATAAATTTTCTGCAACAGTCGCTATTGTTATTAAATCTGAGTTACCATCATTTTTTTATTTTATTTAAGTGATAATATAATAATAAGTCATAACGTTCTTATCACAGAGCACCGCGGATGAGTATTTAATCCTTCCTAACCGATGCCGTAAAACATGCTCAGAGGTGGGGGTTTGAACCACGGATCCTTTGTGTCCGAGGCAAGTGTGCTTCTACTGCGCCACGGCTGCTCGATTGGTGACGTTACTATTTTGTTTCTGAGGCAGTGTGCTACGTGTGCTGTTTCTGAGGCACTGCGCCGCGACTGCTCGATCATTAATGTTATCCATTTTCTGATTACATTTAGAGTTCCCGGAAACTCCATTTTGCCTCCTGAATTTAATTATAACATTTTTACAAATTTTACTGTGCTGTTCAAAGTGCTTCAACATAGTTGTTTGATTCAAAGAGAGTATATAACTCTACTTTGATGGAGTTTCTTGTTGTAGTTATCGAATCTTTTGGTGGACACCATTTTTTTTTTATATTCTTAATTGTCTTGTAGCATACACATTATACAGAATATAATGTGGAATGCAAAAGAATTCGTAAAATGCAGGTAAAGTATTTCGGTGTTAAAGGATAGAATGTTTAATTTTATAATTATATAGTAGAATAATAAACAAACAAAAAGTACTCTACAAGCAGACAGCATAAATGCCAAAAATGAGTATGTCTAAATAGTAAATATTTAAAGTTTTTAAAAATTTATTAATATTTAAATTATTACCCATTATTTAAACCATATTACCCTACAAATGATTCCAGCAGCAACCTAGCAATTTTGAGTTAAACATAAAAACAACCTGCATTATTTTTATTTATTTGCAAAATTTATTTATTAATAACAACTAAAAAAAAATTGTTTTTGTTTACGTCTACGTCTGATATAAAAACTTAAAATCTTTTATATTATATCAATAATAAATATATAAGAAAAATGATTCGCTAGTAAAGTACATTTATGTAACTTTCTGTTGAATTATATAAAAGCTTGTTCGCCTGCTAAATGATCGGTAAACGGTTTAACAAAGTATGACGTAGCAAAGTTGAATATCAATCCAAAAGTTATAGATATCGGTAAAGCCGGTAAAGCTTTTCGATAAATTGCTAACAATAGCAAAGTCAAACACAAACCCTAAAAAACAAAACAACTTAAACTACAATTTGAAAAAACAAAAAAGAATTAAATAATTATCATAATTTAAATCGTGATAACGGTAAAATTTAAATATATATGATTCCGAAAAACAACAGATACAAATTCTAATACGGGTTCTGTAAACTCTTCGCGTCGCTTTACGATTGAAAATCAGCGGTTAATAATAACTTATAAAACAGTTATCGCATGGCTACTTTGCTATGTCAACAACCTTTACAATTTAAAATTCAAAATTGAAATTTTTTGATTTAATCTCAAGCATTCTAGGTGATCAAAATATTTTAGTTACATATACAGTAAGATGATCAGCCTCCAGCTGCTCTTTTTTTTTCCTCACCACTAAGTGATCCTTACATTTTAGTTCTATAAATATTGAGATGGTACTATTTAATACTATCTTCTATTTTCTTTTTATTTTTAAGACATTACAGGGGGTTGCTCTTTTTTCAAAAGGCTCCTCTAATATCTTCTATTACCCTTTAAAAACCTGATCATATCTCCTCCTTAAATCATCTTTTTTATTTTTTTATTTCTTCATGGTAGTATAATGTTCAAAAAAATTTTTTTTTATAATCAAATTGAATAGAAAATGAACTTTGTTTCTATTTAGATCATGTAAAAATATGTTGCGAAAATATGTTGCTGTGAATAATTGTAATTTTCAAAATACTATTTAAATGTTTTTGTTAAAACCTTTATCTTCTCAAGAAACATGACCGCCACATTTTACATCATCATAAAACTATCAGGTTAAACATGCTAACTTGTTTCTCTTTAATAATTATTGGGTGCGAAGGTTAGCAAAGTTTCGTTTAGATTTCAAAGTTTCTATTTCTGAGATTTTTATTTTTATAGAAACAATAAAATTAAGTTTTAATTATCTATTAAAACTTTTAAAAAATTTTTGAGCAAATTTTCAGAATGGTAGTTTTGCTTGTACCGAGTAAAATTTCACTTTACACAATATTACTACAACCACTAATAATGACATGACTGTGGATTCAGCAGAGCATCCTTTTGTTAAAAAGAAATGTCAGACTAACTACAAAACATTAAATCTAAATTGGGTCAGGGATCTTCAAGTATTAAAGATTAAACTTAGCCGTATTCAGCTAACAGAGCGAATAACACCACACGAACAACTTGATCTACTCATTTCTGTATATGAACTTATTTAAGTTTAAGAAGCTGTTGGTTTTCAAAGTTAGTATATTCAACCATATTAATAAAGAAGTTTTTATCTTTGCACCTTTTTATTCCTTATCCAGCCGAATTACCGGGTACCTATGCGGGTACCCGGTAATTCGGCTGTCATCTTTTAATTTGATATTGATTTCTGAAAAACTAATTTCTTGAAAAATTGATGATTGAAAGAAGATAAGTTTTTAGAGCAAAATATTAGAGTAGGTTTTCTTCCTGGCTTTGCACCAATAGCAATTTGTACATTGTACATATTGCTGCCTTACGCACTGAAAATGATGACTCTGATCTGACATGGTTAATTCCACTCACCATATTTTCTTAACTCCATTTTATGATTTTGCCCCATTTTTAATAGCGACTGACTGATCGATTGAATGAGTATTTTTAACACAAGTTAAAGAATTATCATGTGTTGGTAGCTGTTTCATTTGAAAATCACCATGTACACTACTATTAGAAGTTACAGGAACTACACAATCATGAAGATGAGTTGTTTTATAACTTCTTGAAACCCTTGTTGTAGAACCAGTCTTTCTAACAGACTCCCTGTGTAATTGTACTGATGATTTACATCTGCACCTCTTGTTTTAATAATGTTAATTTTCAATAGAAACTAGATAAATAACATTATAGTACAGAATGTCATGGTAATTTAAGAAAATGTTCAAAATTTACAAAAGCTACAAATATTAACATATGGTAAAAACCATACGTTAATATTTGTAATCTAACCCTAATCCTAGGTGCAGGTATTGTATGAGGGTAATGTCTGCAACCTGAGAGTTACCCGACAAAAACAGTTCGTGAATGGTACAAAAATTTTTTTAATTAAACCTCTGCAATATTAGTTTATATAAAATGCTTATTCTATTCTTGCCCACCTGAATGTGGTTGGATGAATTAGGCAAGAATATATTAATTCTGTGGGCAACCTTAGGGGCAAGCTTAGCAAATAGGTGTAAGTAAAGTAAGGATCAAATAAAAATGCAAAAAGTTTGCATCACTTTATGTTGCATCTCAACATAGGGATGGAGATTAAATTGATTTTTTTTACATAAAAATCATGCTTATTCACCGATAATATCTGAAAACGGTAAATTTTGAAAAACTAATAAATCAGATTACAATAAATGTCTTGAAGAGTATTCGGTACCAACTTTGATTTCTCAAGAAGATATCACTGCAAAAGTGTTAGAAGAGCAATGGTTCATACACATCATCCAGCAAGTTTAAAGACATTCAAGGAGTTAAAATTGAATTTTGAGAAAAAATAAATAGTATCAAAAAAACAAAAATAAAATTAAAAAAGATTGACAATTTGTTTAACCATTATTTTCATTGTAGTTTAAAAACTCAGTCCAAGATTGCACATAGATAGTAATGGGAATTGTGTAAGAGCGTGTGTTTCTTATGCAACTCCCATTTAAAGAAAACTGGTCACAGTTCTTACAATTGGCTGAACACAAAAAATAAGTTGTTAAAATGCTTGTAACAAACTTTGATCGGAATCTCTGGAACAATAGAGACAAAGAAATTATTAGACCATTTCGCAGGTAACATTTGTTTATATAATTAATTAAAAAAAGACAAAAAATTTAGATGTTTAAGCTGGTAAAAATAATTTTCTTATAGGCTGCTTTTTTGTCCAAATTTAGTCAAATTTGTTGTTTTATTCTATTATTTAGCTTGTCATCTCCTAAATTTTGCATGGATTAAATAGTTTATTCAAAAAATTGTATTGAGGGTAATTCTATGTCAAATGACTCAGGTCATGTTATATCAGATTTAGCTGATTTTTATACAGTTGAGAGTGCTTAGTAAAATAAGAAACAATTGGAATTTCTAGCCTCTGGTTCCAAAAAGATCCTAAAATATGACCATTTTACTTTAAGCAGATACTGGCCGAGCCCCTCTTGTCCCCTTAGAATTGCAACATTTATTTAGAGGATTCAAGTCACATAACTAGCTATTTTTGGGGGCAACAAATCCAATGGAATGATTAGAAGTGTAAAAAATTATTATTAAGTACCTGTAATTATCAACTTAATTAAGTTTGTATAACTGTTTTTAATGCTCAAGAAACCCATGTGGCCTTGATGACATTAAAAAAAAATTATTACACATTCTATATTCATTGATCTTTCCAAAAATATAAAGATTTTGATCTGCAAGTATATAGATTTCCATATATGGATAACGGGGCACAGTTCCCACTTTTTGTAACGGAATATTGCATTTGTCTTTTCACTATTTACCAGACTAGCTGGAACTATAAAAATTTTGAAATTTCTGTAGTGCCAATGAAAGTGCATGTTGAAATTATTTTCAGGGCCCCAAGACATTAGGGGGAGCTGGGGCAAGTGTCCCACTTTTTTTAATTAGGCTTGGTTGGGAAGTGACCGCTCTTGATTACTGACCACGGAAATAATATTTAGTTGTGAACTGGCCAGATTTTTTAGTCATTTTGAAAACATTTCAAAAAGCAAAGAAAATGTGCAAAAGATTAATTGGACCAATGAGAGACAATTATAAAAAAAAAAAATTAAAAAAAATTAGGAAAAAAAAAAATCTTTTAACGCAAAAAAACTTAAAGCAAATAAATTATGTTTAGAACAAATATTTTTGAAACATCGCTCTTTTTTATAATTTTTTAATAAAATTAAGCGGCATTTTTTATATAAAGCAACATCTTACGATTGTTTAAAAAGGAAACAAATGTTCTTTATTTAACAAAGAATGTAATATAATTGTTATTTATATACTCGTGTCTTATTTACAGTGCTAGATTAAGGAGGGTTGGGGTTTGAAGGGGCTGTAGCCCTGGGTCCCATAATGTTAGGGCCCCAAAAAAGTAAAGAAAACCTTTTTGTTTAGTCATTTTTACGCTGTGGCATATACAAAGGCATCCAAAATAAAAATAGCCCCCAGCCCTGAAAAGTCTAACAAGATTCTAATAAAATAAACACAATTTTTAGTTTTATTTAAGCTAAATTATTTTATAAATAGAAAAGTTAATTTTTTTAATACCTATTTTATGCTTCGTGTAGTTTAAAAAAAATTTAACTTACTTGAAACAATTCCTCTTAGTAAGATGAACAAATGAAATAATTAAATCATTGAATTGCTATAGAAATTAAATTATCTAGATAGAAATCAACTAAAAAGGTTAAAAAATACTATATGACGAGGACACCAAACTGGGAGCAGATTCGCAAAACTTTTTTAAGCGTAAGTTTGGCCTAAGTTTGGAACTTATGACAAATTTACTTATTTTGTAGTCAAGCTCTCAAATTACGGCATTCACAAAACTTCTTAAGAAAATGCTCAGCTTGATTTAAGCAAGAAAAGTTAAGTTAGGTAGGAGCTAACTTAACTTTGGCGTAACTTTAAAATATTGGCGCAGCTCACATATATTGATTTTTTTGTTAAGATTTGTACTAAGATTTTTTAAAATTTGTGATAAATATAGTGTAAATATGCCTATAAATTATTGAATTCTCTATACTATACTATAGTATACTCTATACTCTATAGTCTATAGAGTATGCCACATATACACTAAGTGTAGTCATATACTTTATTACAAAACTTATTATATTTTACAAACTTCATTACAAATGTAGACATACTTATACATAGAGTATGCAACATATGTACAAAATGACATTATAGACTAATTAGTAAACAATATTTTAACAGAGTATATAGTTATTAATAACTACATACTCTGTTAAAATGTATAATTTAAAGAAATACTTCTTATTAAACTTCAG